GGCATCTCTTTATTTTACTTCCTGGGGATCTAATATTACACATAGGGACTGCCTTGTCTATCCAACTCTACCTCTGTTTTAAGTCTTCCCCAACAGTCCATATTAAAGGCCCTGAGAAATTTATAGAGACTGACTCTTCACAGGAAAAAAGGAAATCACCCCATTTTCTAGGATTCACTAGGCATCTGTCCTGAATGGATGTTAATTCTGAGGAATAACATGGCTTTTTAGGCTCTTGAGGCTTACTGTGACTGACAGACAACCTCTGGCCTCAGATGGTCCCCTTGCCCCACAGATGTGTGTGTGTGTGTGTGTTGTTCACCTGCTGGCTGTATTGTCCAGACAATAGGTGTACTGGAAAACTCAAACAACTGCACACTAACTTTCTGGCTACAGATTGGGAGTTACTGTGGGGGAGCTGGGTGGATCTCACCCCCTCTGCAAACATGATAAAGGAACCATTGCTGTATTTCACAAAGCACTGCAACCCTTGATCACCACAAAAGACTTCACAAAAGCACACATCACCCTTTGCTTTAGCTCGGCCTCCTGAAATGCTCATAAGTCAGGCAGCCTCTAGGGAATGAGTGCATTTGATCAAGTTACTCATGCAGTGACTACAATAGCTGCTCCCCAGCTGTAGTGTCTCTACTGAATCAGGTAAACACAGCACCAGGCACTTGGAAAAGCACCAGCTCACCTGCTCTGTGCCTTTTTCTCCATATCAGTTAGTAAGAGCAAAGCTATCTGCCTTTCTGTGGCAGGCCCTGCAGCACACTTTTGCAGTCTTGCATCACCATTGTAGATACAGTCTGTCCTGCTTTGAGCCCTGACACACTGTGCAGAAACCATGACAACCCCCTTTCCAAAGCCCACACCACTCTGCCACACCGAGAACCTTCTGCAGTTTCCATCATATGGACGGAAAGCAGAAAGTACTCCAGAGAACGAAGTGCTTGGGCTCCTGTCAGAAGACATGGAGACAATGATTCTCAGGTACAGAGGCTACTCTTGGGAAAGAAATAGAGTTTATATTGGCACATGACCATAAATATGTCAGCATCATGTCATCAGGAAGGAAGCTTTACTTTGCCGCAAACCTGGCTGAGTGGTTCTCAGGCACTCCACTTTCTCTCCCTATTGTGATAAAATACTCCGATAAAAGCAACTCAAAGGAGATTTTGTTTTAGTTCACGGTTCAAGGTATAATTCATCATGGTGGGGAGGGGGGAACAGAGCAACAGGATCTTGAGGCAGCTTATCTAGATGGTCATGGGGTCACATCTTTGTGTATCTATTCCTATGGACGGCTGGATGCTGTATGGACCGTGTGTGTGAATGTGTGAGACTTGTGTCTGTATGTGGGCAGTGTGACTGTCCCTCATGAAGGGCTCTGGAACAACACAGAACAAATCACACGAGGAAGGGATGGGACACTTTCCAGAAACCTTTAGTAGAGTTTTATAAGTCACTGAATGCAATTGACCCCAACTGACCCAGACAACAAACATTATTTATTCACCAATATCCATAAATTGGTGCTTTCAGCCTTTATGGATGGTTTTGGGCAGTTTCTTTCAACTTCTATATTTCCTGCTTTCAGCAAACGATACACACTCATTACCTGACTCAGGGGCATGGAAGAGTATATAACTTAAGATTATACTTATGTATTAGCTTCGGTTATAAAAGTTGACCACATGGGAAATCCAAGGTAAGTAAGGTTGGCTGTTATGTTGTTCTCTTAAAAGCAAGCTAAACTGTGACTGCAACGTGTGTTATTAACTCTGACTGCAATGTGTAGCAAAAGGTCCACTCTCTTAGATTGTCAGAACATTGATTGCATCATCACATTCAAACCCGGGGTGTACATAGGATAGGAAAGGAAGAAGGTTTGACAGAGTATCCAATGAGTATACTGGCTCGTCTAATACATGATAAGATTCTCAGGGAGCCATGCTGCTTCTGTAGTATCCAGCACCAGCCACAGGGCCTCCTGATACATACTGTAGGGCTCCCGCATGAAACAAGAAGGAAGACTCTGGGATTTGTCACTGGCTTGAGGCAACCAGCATGTCTGCTGTGTGTGCATTATAAAGGTGTAAAGAACACTAACTGGCAGTCTGGGAAGATAACACACTGGGTGAGATGCTTGCTACACAGAGCATGGAGATCTGAGTTCAGATCCCCAGCACCTATATAAAAATGTGGTGCAGTGACGTGGCTGTGACCTCATCACTGGAGCATGGAGGAGAAGGGCTGATCTCACAGCAGCACTGGACAGTCAGTCCAGGCAACACAGTGAGCCCCGGGGTTCAGTGAGTGAGCCTGTCTCCAAAAGTAAGGTGGAAACTGATGGAGCAAGTTGCTCCATGTCAAACTCTGAAATCCCATGTGCACTTACATGGGTGAGTGCACTTACACATGTACACACTCATATGACACACACACACACACACACACACACACACACACACCTATTTTTATATGCTATATGTGTAGTGGCTCATCATCTACCCCAAGGACACATTTCAACACTGTTCAGAACCACAAGGACCCTCATTGTGGTCACTGTCCTCTGAGAGCTTCTGGTTGACTTTACCTCCTCCACTTTGCCTAAGTCTCCCGTGGCATTCATGTACTCATGAATACTAGACATCACAAGCCAACAACTGAAACACAGAGGCTTATAGTGGTCCCCTCTGGAATTTCAAAGCAATTAGACCTCTGAGAACTACACTGTATTAGAGCAGAAAGCAGAAAGCCTTGAGGTCAGGTTGCAAAGATTTGTTATTGTTTCTACTGGTAAGAGGGAAGTGGTTTCTGTCTTTACCCACTGGTCTGGAGAAAAGGGCATTAGACAGATGAGTGACTGCTTCCCATATGTTATGGGCTGTGTTTACATGATTCAGTGAAGGTGTTACAGCTGGGGACCAGCTGAACTTGTAGTCACCTTCTGAATAATTTTAGAATCACCTATAGTCATTTTGCAAGGTGCATCTGACCTTTAAAAATTCCAGTCAGGTGAATGGAATTGGGGTGTCATCCTGAGTTTGACAGATCCCTGTAGGATGCAGTGTGATTTCCACTCTACTACCCTGGAATGGTGGAGAAGGTCCAAGGGACTTCTCCATGACTCATATTAATGACACCGAGTCTCAATTTGTGGTCAGAGTCAATGTTGGTTTTGGGGAGTTCTCTAAGAGCCTCTGTTACAAGAAAAATCACAGCAAAAAGTCCATAGAAACAAATATGTTTCTGGGTCAAGAAGCCTTCATGAAGTTAGTTTTGGTCTGTCCCTTGACAACCATAAGTCCTTCTGACTGCAGGAGCTACAGTAGCAATATTATTTCTCAGGATCAATATCCACTCAGAACAGATGTTCAATGATCCTTGGGAAAACAGTATTTTCTTTTTGCTGTGTTGGGTCCATCCAACAAATGGCTGTGATCCCTGGTGGGCTGGGAGACATTTGGTAGAAGATATACAGCATATACATACAATCAGCCAAGAGGTTGAAGCAGGAAAATGGGAAGTTTGATGCCATACAGGGCAACATAAGAAGACCGTGACTTAAATAATAAAGTAAACATGAATTAAGTATTTAGTTGGTACAAAGTGTCAGTCTGTTGACAAGGAGAGCCGATCCCCCATGTCAATCCAAAGGCTCATATCTGTAAATTAACTTGGATTTGGAGATTATGTGAGGGACCACTGTTTCATTTTGTTGACTTACAAAATGTCACTCAATTTTCCTCTTTTATCTGGCTTTATGTGTATAGGTGTTTTGCCTTCATGTGTATCTGTGCACCATGTAAGTAGAAGAACTAGAGAAACATATTTTAAAGTCATAATTGCCCTCTCACCTCTATAATATAGTGAATTTCCTTTTATTTTAAAGGGAGCATTATGATGGATGTAATCATATGGCTGGTTTTGTAGGTTGGAAGTCTGAATTGCAATCTAATGGTTGCTTGGGCCTTTAGAAATTCATCTGGGGAAATTCTAGCATATAAACTTCATAAAATGAAGGCTGCCTATGGAATATAAGTTCAAGTCCAGCAACCACATCTTTAGATATTTGTGATGGCAGCATTTCTCTCTGGGCACTCAGGATGCTCACCACTTCTCACCCCTACATCCAATTACCGTCAGCATTTGCAGCTGCAAACAGCAAAAATCAGTGTAGGACCCTGAACAGAGCCTTACTCGGGGTCTTCTAAACTCCAATCAAGAGCCAGAACTCTTGTTATCTCAAGGCTTGTCTAAGAGAGGACCAACTTGAGAGGCCGCAGAAATTCCCTGACCATCTCTACAGTGTCTAGTGCTCATTTCAACAGAGGAAGGTACAACAGCGTGCACCGTCAAAGGACTTGGTACTTCTGCCTTGACAACAGAATTACTGTGGGGGATAAACCCAGTCATTCCTGGGTACTACAGTGTTTTATCCACATGCAGAAGAGAAGAGATAGAGCAAGGTCAGTGACAGAACCATGCTTTTTGACATTGAACCAATCAGGCTAGGGAGCAGGGAACAGTTAGGTAAAGAAGGAGGGTGTGTGGTCCCCTCTCCCTCCATTGTGTCCTGCCTCTTTGCATTTCACCTTGGCATGAGCACCACTGCACTAATCTCTGATTTCACACCTGAGAGGAGAGTCACAGAGCACTTCACTTGACTTCAGTGAGCTTCATCAACCTCCCAGAGATATGGCTGTGAATTGGCATCACCTTCCAGACAGTTTTCTCAACTGGAAGTCCATTTTCTACCCGGGATAGTCAGTACCGGGGTTGTATGATGAAAGACTGACCTGCCTTGGGGACAAAGTGCTAGGGCTTCACTGGGTAGGAACATGTCCAAGCTGCAATCTGATGCAATCAGTTCACAAAGGGATGCTTTCAATACCAAGAACAGCTTAAAAGAGGAGGAGTCAGGCCATGGTGCTTCTCTGCAGGTTATAAGTTGCCTGGGTTTGTGGATGAGGTCGATGAAGTCTTCTTAAGGGACTGGTTTTCCTTGTCTCACTCTGAACAAGCAAGAGTGCCATGCTTCCCTTGGTTCCCATCGAACTCTTCCTTGCTGCCTTGTGTCTCCTGGTCCTGGGGGTCAACCTATGGGTTCTTTTACAGCACCTCCTCAAAACGGATATACCTCCTTCCATCCCACACCGCATGAGATTTCGGATTCTGCACTACCTTTTTCAACTGACGATGACATGGGTAAATTTTGTTTCTTAATATTATGTCCTGTAAGAGGAGACAGAACTCGAGCCTTGGGAAAGTGTTTTGCAAAAACCAACATAGTCTAAGAGTAGTGACCAGTGTGTGCTGTTCTGTAGTGACGTGCCAGACACTGTGTGTTCTAGACAATGGGCATTATTGTGCCCATTTAATGAGATGAGTGTCCTATCTCTTCCTTTTCCATGCAAGAGTTGCGTTAGCAAGGGAGAATTTTATGGAGTCTATCTATTTCTTATAAGAAATAATCTGGGGTTTTATATGCTTTGAATTGGTGAATGGGAAGCTCATTATGATGACTTTGGTTAGGATCACGTGAATCTTTCAGTCCCTACTGAGTTGGATAAATACATCCTTTTGTTCTTTAGCAAGAAAAGAGCCCCCGTTGCTGTTCTGGGGTCCAACACACTGACAGCTGTGGTTGATAGGTTTTTAGTTTTTTGGATGGTTGAAACTAGCAGTCACAAACCACAAAACTAGGTTTTATTATCTCCTAGATGAGACTTGAAGGAAACCAATGAAAACTTAAGAGTCTGAGGAAGATGAAAAATTGCCTTCTACCCTTTGTCTTTCCTGAGGCCCTCAGACAAAGGACAGAATAACTGAGCACCAATTTAGGTTATATTGATATCTTTTTGAGACCTGTGAACATTGAGAACCTTAAAGCAATGGTTACATCAGGGGGTTTATATGCCATTTATCAAACACTAATACAGTTGTAGAGAAATAAGGGGGAGGAATTCAGGATTTGAATACAGTTAACTGTGAGGTCTAGGGACTTAGTGTTTGGGAACAGTAAGTGGAAGACAGGATGGACTTAACTTCAGAGAGCTGTGAACAGCTGTGTAAGGCCCTGGGTGTTTTCTAAGACCATCAGAGTTGCCCCAGTGGGATAGAATGTCCAGGGAGCAGGTTACTGCTCTCTGACTTGCATGGTAGCATCAGTCCTCTTTTCTTGCTTACATGTGCATGTATCCATTGAGTGACAACTAGCTCTGTTCACTGCTGTGGCACCAACCCAAGATGGGAGAGCAGCTGTAGAGTTCACAGTTATTATTATGAGATTTTAGTTCCAGGCATACTTTTTGCCTCTTGGGAATCAATTTGCCATAGTCTCAGAGTCACTGACAGCCTTACTTCCTGTGAAGTGCATTTGTGGAGCTTGTAGAATTTCATGTCATCACTGCCAAACATGCAGTAGATGCTCAAGAAATCATAGCAAAAGCAACCAGCCATTGCAAAGCTCGTTCTGTGCTCATCTCCATAAATCACTTCTTTTGCTCCAACGAGAAAGTCTTTAGCTTCATAGTAATCAGCCTTTCTTCACCACATCCAAAGGGGAGCTTCATGTAAAGCCATCAGCTGAGACAGGCAGAAGGGGCAAAACCAGCTCAGTAGAAGAAATGGCATCCTAACAACAGCCAAATGGTCTTCTCAGTGCTTTGAGTTCTCATCCACCCTGGGGTGTGGTGTCTATACAGCTGTAGTTAGGAACTCAATACTTCATTTATGTCAACTAAAAGAATTTCAGAGTCAGCCTGAAGCAAACTTGGAATTTTTAGGCAAAGGACAAAGATATGGACTGAAGGGAATCCAATACAGACATAAAAAAAAAAAAAAAAAGAATATACCTAAGTGTCTATGACTACATAGACTGTATGTAGTCACTGTACACATGGTTTGGGAATTTGAAGTACATCCTTCAAACTGGTAATCTACCGCTAAAGACAAGACAGAATGTTATGATGTATTTAAAGTTTCTCTTTTTAATGGGATTGTTGTGATGACCAATGTGGGCATACTGAGTAGCTTGCATATGAAAAAGGAATGCTGTTAAGATAAAAAAGAGAATATGGACCTACTCATTGCTTGTCTATTTCTATAGGTTTTGACAAACATTTATGCCATATATTCATTATCTCACTATTATTATTAAATAGAAGAGTGTTACCATCCTAGAAACTGGTCCACTTAATCATCACTCATTCCCTTATGCAACTCTGTTTCTTCCAGGAAATAAACTCCTTGACAACTACTGGGGGGAAAAAGGCATGTCCCCAACCCAAATAATTTTTATTATACTTCATATGAAGGCAAAAACATAGTCTCTATTTATTTATTCATTTATTATGTGCATTGGTATTTTGCCTGCATGTCTGTGTGAGGCTGTCAGATTTTGGAGTTGCAGACAGCTATGAACTGCCATATGGGTGCTGGGAATTGAACCTGGGTCCTCTGGAAGAGCAATCAATGCCTTATAACTGCTGAGCCATCTCTCCAGCTCCAAAAGTACAGTCTTAACCTGGGTATATACTTGTATTTCATTGTCCACTCCAATAATCTTCCTGTGCTGGTAGATTGCAGGGGATTGCTCAACAGTGTTAGGGTTCTTGACTCTCAGCCAGTGAGAGACAAAGACCAGATCCAAAGGAATGTTCTTCTTCTTTTTTTAATCTCTTTTTCTGCCCTGTGTCCCCTTAATCTCCCCTGCCTTTCTATGCTACCTTCCCCGCTTTAGAGACCTCCTATCCCTTAATCTAAAGAGTTGTTCAGGGGCTGGTGGGATGGCTCAGTTGGTAAAGTGCTTGTTGTAGAAACATGAACACCTGTTTTCATCCTCAGCATTCATGTAAAGAGCTGAGCACAGCTGTGTGCATTTGTATTCCCCCAATGCCGGGAGGTGGAGACAGGATGATCTCTGGAAATGGCTGGCTAGCTAGTTTGTGAAATTGACATGCTGCAGGTTCAGTGAGAGACCCTGTCTCAAAAAAGTAAGGTGGAGACTTAGAAGTCAGTACTGGCCTGTGGTTGTCTACATGTGAACCAGCAACTGCAGACACACACACATACAGTTGTACACAGATACAAAGAACACAAGTGCTTGTGCACACGTGCAAAGTTGGTCGATTTTCTAAAGTTCTTCATATTGAGAAGGAATGGGATCATATCTACTCAGGGAATCCACCTTCTCAACCCGCCTGATCTAGGGGGGTCAGAACTTGTAGAGTATCATTGCTTTGTAGGAATCTAGAACAAATCATACTACTACTTTGAGACATCGTATCACAGCGTTGGTAAAATATACAGCACATTGTATGTATAAAACCTAAGTTGGGAAGACTAATCACCATGTCAGGGGTCTGAGAACCATGTTAGTAAAAGATGATGAAAACTTAATGCAGGACCTGACATCAGCTACATTTGAAACGTAAATCTTGGATATTGATGACCCATAGAGGTTAGGAGAGGGCATCAGGAGCTTGAATCACAGTCTTTCTGATGTGGGTACTGGAAACAGGACTCCAGACTTCTGTGGAGGCAAATAAGAGCTCTTGAAGCAGAACCAGCTCTTTGGCCCCAAGATTTTCTTTCCTGTCAAGATTTCTGTAAGAGTCCAGTGAATGATTTTCTTTGTTCCAGACAAAACTGAGTCAGTTGCTTGAGCAGACCTTCTGTAGGGGGTGACAATTGTGTAATGTGCCCTGAGTCAAAAAATATCTGTCTTTATATAGCATTATACAGTTGAAATTTAGGGAACAGCATAGGAGAGGTCCCTATGTGGGAGTTTATTTCTATTAAAGAAAAATGTCAGACTTTACTTTCCAGGTTACTGAACAAATCTAAGTGAAAAATTCGTACTGTAATTTACAGTCCCATTTTGAGGCTAATTTTTCCCTACTTTCTCCCTTACCTCATTACCAACTTCCTGTGTAAGATAGCATTATTCTTTCTTGAGGCATCTGTTTTAAAGTTGTTCAGTTACATAAAATGAAAACTAAAGATGAGTTCTCACGAATAGAAGACAGATTTCCATAGTTACTTTAGTGTTGCCCCTGTGTTTGCTTGGGCATTTAAAAGAAAAAAGTTAAAGGAAATACTCCAAAAGAATCCAAGACTTCCTGGATGAAACGCCACTGGACGCCTCTATACTGCCATCTACTGGGGATTTGGTGAGTATGTGAGCCACAAAATAAATATCTCTTGAGAAGTTTCAAAGTGATGGTTAGCTTCACACAGTGGTTGTATCTGAACATTTTGTGAAATGAAGACATGTGGAATCTATGTTCATATGTTTCAGACTAAGATCCCACTGTGCGGCTGTCCTGTTAGTATCATAAGCAGGAATAATGTTAGTGAATACATTTTTTCTTGAAGCTGTGTGTGTGTGTGTGTGTGCCAAGACCAAGAATGAAGAGTCCTTTTTACTCCTTGAATGTACAGAAAATAATGTGCCTTTAAAAAAGGTGGAATCAGAAAGAGAATGAACTTTCTTATATTGTAAATGTTGCTATTAAGAAGGGTATGCACATTGTCTAGATTTTGAAATGATGGAAGGTCCTTTGAAGACTGATGAGGGAGAATTGTTAATGGTATTACTCAATCATGGATCCTGTGTGTTACATTATCAACTTGCCAGGCAAGTTGTACCCACTGGTGCTCTAATGGCATGGTAGTCATGGGATGACCCGTCACCTCCTGATTGGATCTGATGCACACTCCACAGGAGGTAATTCATATCTGGTTCTATAAAACCTGGCCAAAAGTCAGTGGCTGAGGAGTTCAGAAGCCCTATCGAGTAAGTTATCATCTTGTTTTGATAAATAGGCATGCTATGTCTGCCCATCAAATTACTTTCTATAACTATGCTTGTGTCCATCCATTAGTCTATCTCTGATCAGAGAAACAATGGTCAACAATGTCTATAGAGTCTCATAACTGGTCAAAATACTGAGAATAAATGACTGTTGAATGCTTAGCTTTGGGACTACTGTGGAAGAAGGGTTGGGAAGAATGTAAACAGCAGAAGTGGAGGAAACAGTCTTGAACTCACAGCAGCTGTGAGTAGATCTCCACAAGACTGGGTTCATCCATATGGATGGGGGAGGGTCTCACAAGGCCCCACCACTTGCTGAGGTTGTTATTGTTGATGGGGTGGGGAAGAGGCATTTTTAAAAAGTGATATAGCCAGTGGTAAGTAACTC